GTTAATTACGTGAAGGATATATAAACTTTATTCCATGTATTAAAACTATACATGAACTTTAAATCTGTATCGAAATCATTCATGAATTCAATTTGATCAAAATCAACGTTTTGAAAACTGGTTTGGATATTGAATAGAAAAAATGAGAGGGTGGGTCAAGGGTCTGAAGGTCAAATCCAAAATAATAATAATTTATTAAAAAAAAATTTATATTTTGATGTATATCTTATTATAATTTTATATCAAGTAAAAGAGTATTTTTTCATTCAATTTTTTTTTTTATATTTCTTTGCAATTTTTTTGTGAACCATATATTATATCAGTGAGCCTAAGGTAAATGGAAAAAGTTAGATGAAAGATCAATGCCGGATTCTTCTTAACCCTTTTTTTCCTTCTCAAAACCAACCAAAAAACTCGATAAAACCGCAACCAGGATGCCCTTTTTAGTTGCACGTCCAGTTTTTAGCGGGTTTTTATGCGTACAGGCAATAAGTATGCATCAACTTGACCGGTTATCCGTTCGGTTCCCTTTAACATTGATCAAAACCACACATGAAATCACAAATTTGTTTTCCATACATGTCTTAACTTTTGTGTGTCAATCCAAATGACAAATGGTCAACAGGAAAATATATAACATTTTTTTTCATCTCTTCTTATTCTGTTATTATGACATATGACGCATTAATGGTCGAAATCGTCTCCTTTTTCTTAAAATATTTTCTTCAATTCAATGCTTTACAACATTTTCAAAATCGATAGCTTTCTATCCTCCAAAATCATCTTATTAAAACATTCACATAAATTTAAATTTATAAGGAACACGTGTTTGGACTAAGTTTATCATTCAATTGAAGCATTCAGAAATATAAGGAGTCGTTCTCTTTGTGTTTCAATTTTGAGTTTGGACTAAGTTTATCATTCAATTGAAGCATTCAGAAAGATAAGGGGTCGTTCTTTTTGTGTTTCAGTTTTGAGTTTGAACTAAGTTTATCATTCAATTGAACCATTCAGAAAGATAAGGGGTCGTTCTTTTTGTGTTTCAGTTTTGAGTTTGAACTAAGTTTATCATTCAATTGAACCATTCAGAAAGATAAGCGGTCGTTTTCTTTGTATTTCAGTTTTGAGTTTTGAGTTTGGACTAAGTTTATCATTCAATTGAAGCATTGATAAGGGATCGTTCTCTTTGTGTTTCGGTTTTGAGTTTTGAGTTTGGACTAAGTTTATCATTCAATTGAAGCATTCGGCAGGATAAATGTTTTAGTTTTCAAATTCAGCCGTTTGGAGTTTATTGATCATTCTAAAGTTAATGCCACAAATAACATAATAAGAAGAAATGAAAAAAAATATTTTATTATTTTCTTGTCCACCTTTGGTCGTGGATTGTTTAGTTAGTTTTGACACATGAAAGTTAATTCATGTACGGATCTAATACAAATTCTGAGTCCAAGCATGATTTTAATACAAAGTTGAGTTGATATATGATTTTTATTATACAATGGGGGTAAAGTTCATGTATGATTTTGGTGTAGGGAGTAAATTTCATGGACCATTTGCGTAATTAATTTGTCAAGAGTCTGCCACTTCATGTCACATGGACACTTTGTTTGACAGGTAGATTATTTTATTAGTTTTGATTGACGAAAATTATTTTATGTATGAATGGAATACGAATACGTAAATTCATTTATAATTTTGATTCATTTAACCCACTTTTATTCCATACAACGTACTAATTATCCAATAAATGTTAATTTTCCATTTTTCTTCCGAATACTTGTGAATTCAAGACCAGACTAAAAAAATTTTCATCTTAGGCTTATACGTAAAAAATAAAAAATTATACAAAAACTTCTTTTTACGTAAACATTTTTAAAGCCCCCGTTTGGTGCACATTTTGAAAGTAACAATGTGTTTTTATTGTTGATGTGATGAGAAATATGTTGTTGAAAAAGAATGAAAAGTTATTGATGTGACGTAAAATATTATTTTATTGAAGAATGTATGGTTGAAAATGAGTAGAAGAATGAGAATGAAAAAAATAATGTAAATGAAACAGGGCCAAAACATCAAAAATGAAATGGACAGGGGTAGCCCAGTCCAGTCCCTCCCACATCTGCTTCTACGTTTACCAAATTGTACACGGCGAGGTTAATAGTTCAAATCTAATAGTTGTTAACTTTAGTTACGAGCAGCTTGGAGGCTACCGAGAAACTTTATAATCAGAAGCGCTTATATTTATTGATATTGATCGACGTCAATACTCCACATTATTCATACACACATTAATATGCTTCACTTTTAGACTCTTCAAGCTAAGGACTTTCATTCTGCATGTAGGCTACTGCTTCTTCAGCACTTTGGCAGCAGGAACACCCTGTCCAGTGATGATAACCACAGCATCCCCAGTGGCAACCGCCACCGCCACTGCCCCCACCATGGCCACTGCCTCCTCCTCCTGCTTGTCCACCACCACCACTGCCGCCACTGCCTCCACCGCCTGCTTGGCCGCCACCACCACCAC